TTCAATCTGAAGACATTGAAAAGTATTGATGTATGTGCATCATTTGTTCGTCCAGAAAACTTTCATCAATATTGTCCTTTGTTATAAATGTCGTCAATAAAAGATTTGATTTAGTTCCATCGATTATGAATAACATTCTATTTCTTCGATTTGTTGAGAATAAGACATATGTCACACCCCTTTCTCTCGTTACATGATTTTTTTCTTAATTTTCGGAAATGTATCCTACAGGGTTGGAAATAATAATATTCCAGGAGGGTAGAGCCATATTTCCGAATGGCGACCCTAATGAATTTTATACCAAATGAAAGCCCGAAAAACCGCACGCCATTAAAGTCTTTCTCTCTCTCTCTATCTTATGTAATTTTCTGATAGAAAGAAAACAAAAGTCGTCCGAATAGCTGCTACTACGTGCATCTAACAACAGAATGTGAAAGAAGTACCCGATTTGTTCATTAAAAACACCTCTGATAATCGGTCGAACAAAAATTTTCTTGCTTTTTCTTTCATCCGCTGTCCCTTGGAGTTAGACTATACTTTCGAAATAGTAGCGTTACCTCCCTGGAATAATATTATTTCCAACCCTGTACAAACAATCGGCTTTTTGCTCTTCAAATGGGAGTTTTTCATATGTTTCTGTTCAGTTTATGTGAACAACATTTGATTAGTACAGATAGTGGTTTTGGTCGAATTCCTGCATTTGCATCATTGAGACAAAGAAATCTTGTCGAAATCAAGGAATTACATTGACAAGTGCAGGACGACATTGGTCGAGAATTTGATTTTGATTAATTGTCAAAGTTCGAATAAAAACTAGGGGTCGCGATTTATTTTCAAAGTACAATTAAAATATCACTTCTAAGACAAATCGACATGGTATGAACAAAATGCTACAGTAGAGTAGATCATTTTATTTAAAAATTGTTCATGAATATTTAATAAAATGAAAATTTTATAAAGTAGTTCAAGACATAGTCAATTCATGGCTACGAGCACATTCATCAAAATAAGATCCATGAGTTGAACTTATCGAATCAATACGTGATTCGTCTTTGAATAAAGAAAGATTTACTTGGTTATTTGATGTTTTCTCTGGGAGTGTCGTTTCATTTGATGAATTTTCATTCTGTCCACTCGTTTCTATAAAAGAATCATCCTAAAAACACTGAAAAATATTGATTTTATCTACAATTGTGGATACGTTACAGGATTATCATTGATGACGTTATTTTCTTGACTTTGTGAATTTGATGATGATGGTGGATCTGAAGACGCAAGAGAAATTTATTCAAATTGTATATTTATAAAGTACAAAATCTGACCGCATTCCCAAGTATNCGCAGTTCAATCTGAAGACATTGAAAAGTATTGATGTATGTGCATCATTTGTTCGTCCAGAAAACTTTCATCAATATTGTCCTTTGTTATAAATGTCGTCAATAAAAGATTTGATTTAGTTCCATCAATTATGAATGACATTCTATTTCTTCGATTTGTTGAGAATAAGACATATGCCACACCCCTTTCTCTCGTTATATGCTTTTTTTCTTAATTTTCGGAAATGTATCCTACAGGGTTGGAAATAATAATATTCCAGGCGGGTAGAGCCATATTTCTGAATGGCGACCCTAATGAATTTTATACCAAATGAAAGCCCGAAAAACTGCACGCCATTAAAGTCTTTCTCTCTCTCTCTATCTGATGTAATTTTCTGATAGAAAGAAAACAAAAGTCGTCCGAATAGCTGCTACTACGTGCATCTAACAACAGAATGTGAAAGGAGTGCCCGATTTGTTCATTAAAAACACCTCTGATAATCGATCGAACAAAAATTTTCTTGCTTTTTCTTTCATCCGCTGTCCCTTGGAGTTAGACTATACTTTCGAAATAGTAGCGTTACCTCCCTGGAATAATATTATTTCCAACCCTGTACAAACAATCGGCTTTTTGCTCTTCAAATGGGAGTTTTTCATATGTTTCTGTTCAGTTTATGTGAACAACATTTGATTAGTACAGATAGTGGTTTTGGTCGAATTCCTGCATTTGCATCATTGAGACAAAGAAATCTTGTCGAAATCAAGGAATTACATTGGCAAGTGCAGGACGACATTGGTCGAGAATTTGATTTTGATTAGTTGTCAAAGTTCGAATAAAAACTAGGGGTCGCGATTTATTTTCAAAGTACAATTAAAATATCACTTCTAAGACAAATCAACATCGTATGAATAAAATGCTACACTATAGAGTAGATCATTTTATTTAAAAGTTGTTCATGACTATGTAATAAAATGAAAATTTTATAAAGCAGTTCAAGACATAGTCAATTCATGACTACGAGCACATTCATCAAAATAAGATCCATGAGTTGAACTTATCGAATCAATACGTGATTCGTCTTTGAATGAAGAAAGATTTACTTGGTTATTTGATGTTTTCTCTGGCAGTGTCGTTTCATTTGATGAATTTCCATTCTGTCCACTCGTTTCTATCAAAGAATCATCCTAAAAACACTGAAAAATATTGATTTTATCTACAATTGTGGATACGTTACAGGATTATCATTGATGACGTTATTTTCTTGACTTTCTGAATTTGATGATGATGGTGGATCTGAAGACGCAAGAGAAATTTATTCAAATTGTATATTTATAAAGTACAAAATCTGACCACATTCCCAACTATTTGAACCATGCGAGGAACAATCAGCGTTTTTTTCAAATCCCATCGCCTGTGAGAAATCTTTGCTGAAAGAAGATTGCTTATCTTTCTAATAATCGATTAAATTCTCTGTAATTATTTCAAATGTACTATTTGTATAGAAATACTCACCATATTGCCATTAATCGTCATTTCCTAAAAGCGAAAAGTTGGAGAAGTGAGTAGAAAAATCTACATAGGAATTTTACTTGTGACATTGTGGACGAATTCTTTGCTTCGAAAGTCATTCGAGACCAAAACAAATCATCTCTGTTCATCGCTTGTAACCATGTGCACCTATTTTGTTGATCAAGTGATTTAGCAATACCTAAAATAAGTTCATCAACACCCGATGGATCTTTTCGAATACCAATATCATCATCGACATAAGTGACACTATTCACCATAGTACACAGACCAAATTGACCAAAATAGATAATTTTCTTCTCTTCGAATGGTTGAATATCTGGATGAACTTTCTGAAGAATATTTTTAAACTCATTGAGCACAGTTTGTCGATTTCGATTCGTCCACATGTTCGTAC